CGTGACATCTGACCACATAACCCGCTATCGCTAACTCTATTACCCGGTAGGAGTGAGAGTCAACCTCGGACGATTGGACAGAACACAGAAAGCGCAGATGTGCTAGATACCATTTCTCCTAAGGTTAACGCCTCTAAGTTACCACCGACTGTACTTTTTACTCTGCCCACAGGAGTTTCCATCATATCTAGGCGGAAAACATTCAAACCTAATAAGGAACCTTTCACATGGACGACATAGGTCTCCTCTATCCTCAAGGAATTTTCACACGGTCCTTCACTGCAACACCGTGACCATACATACACTCGCCCGGATTGTGGGATACTCCCTTCCTCCATATTCCCAGACTCGCTACATTACCAGGACAGGCAGTGAGGCCTGGTCAGGTTCATTCAGGCAGACCCCTATGATCAACCGGACTGCGCTTGGAAGTCGAATACCAGCTTGTGGGGCAAAGGGCTACGAGGACAACCTGCGAGACCACACCCACAGAAACAGGTTCACAATTCAGGAATTCTCCCTTCACATTGCAGACCTAGAATTCTTTGTGCAGTACTTCACTATCAACTGCCTGGTAAAGGAGTACTCCGCCGGATGGACAAAGCGTCGAGAGTCAGGTATACCAATCGCCTGGACGGAACTAACCCCTGTCTTCTATCAGACATCATGAAAGGCATCTTCGATTCCTGCCTTCCTTGCAGAACCCTGAGGTCAGCCTATCTCCCAGGGTAGACACATATCAGAGGCAGCGCCAGAATGCGGTGTTCTTCAATTGGCACATTGCACGATCGCACTCCGGCCACCTGCGCCTCCCTGGGGGACGTATGCTATTTCCTCTCTTGTGATGATTGCAAAACTTCTCCATCATCTCATTGTTCAGTGAATAACACTGCCTTGGCCATCCCGCTGTGACGGAGTCAACATTGTTTCCTGGACTGACGATCTCCTCCTCCTACATTCATATCCTACTATTCTCATGGATCCAAAGGAAACCCACATCTCCTCTTCCTGGAGGGTCGGCTGACCCTGGTGGCTGGGACTCTTGCTGGGGTTCTTGGCAGATCTGCGAACTATCGTAGGCTGCTAGGGACCTCTTAGGAGTCTCTTGGGCCACAGTAACGTAACAATGCTACCTCTCCATCTGGGCATTCCCGGTCTGATTGATGTTTGGAATTGTACCTTGATCTATTATGGGCTGGTTTTGATAGCTTTATGGCCCGTGTCCCGGTCTGGGGACTCCCGATGGACGAGGATTCTAAAACGTATGTACCAGTTACCCAGTGACATCCACCCCTGGCTCATGGGACGTGGAGGCACAGGACTGGGGCACCTACTGATGGACTTTTATGCTTTGACTGGTGGCTTTCCACCAGGTACCGGATGTTCTCATAGCATAGCTGTTTGTCTGCTTGGACATACACTTACACTTTACAGAACCATATAAAGCTGGCTCTGACTGTAAAGGCATTGAAAAGTATACTCCTCCAGTTCACTTTATCCCACATCCATGGAATAATGCAGGTACTTCAGGTAAGTAAAGACATAATTTTGCTTGGCCGTCACTTCCTGTGACGTTGTTGCAATCTCCGTCTCTGTGCCCCATTTCTTTGGTATGTTTTATTGCTTTATCACTGTGCCTTTTTTGAGTGATTTAAGGCACTGGGTTTAGCTGTGTGTACTCCCTAATAGTACCAGAACATACTCCATATTCACTGTTTTGTTTCCAATTTATTTCACTTGATTTAATTCTATTGAATACAATATTCAAATGATTACAATGTTAGAATTTTGTTTTCAAATAATTTATCTGCAAACATTATCTTAGACTTTAATGGAGATATCTGTAGATAAATTATTTCAAAACTGTTTCTAGTGGATTGTGATCATTTCAAAAGAATTAAATCAAGGCCAATGACTGATAACTGGCAATGTGCCCTTCTTTGAAACCAACACAAAATCTAGCCATATTATAAACTAGGGCATGCCCTTAATGTGTCCATTGTAGGAAACTTGACAACAAATTCACAGATAAAAATTCAAAATTTTATAAGTATAATCCACACCTACTGGATAAATAAACTATCAATGATTCATAAACACATAGCAGCACAAAAGAACTTTCAACAGGTTCCCACCCAGAATGGCTAAAACAAGGCAGAACAATAAAGTTTACGAAGAACCTTCACAAGGAGACACTATCATCTATCACCGTTGCCAGTTACTTACGTACCAGACAACTACCAGTATTGAATATTTTGCAAATTGCACTTTACCTAGAAACACAGTAGGACTACCCAATTTTTTTTTTTTTTTTTTAAGCCTGTGTGTTCGAATCTGTTGGAACCAGCAGTATCATGACTCTTCGTGGGCGAATTGGGTTTGATAGAATAGAAAAATCGGTTGAGTGGAAGTTGGAGGCACCAAAAGAACAAGACAGTTGATTAATGTCTGCAAAATGGCAGGCTAGTTCTGTGTCTAATAGTTTTTGATCTAAACGGATGTTGAATTGAAAGCAACAGCCAATTTGGCCTAAATATATTAGTGATAGTTATAAAATGTGTAACCACCATACTTGTGCTCCAGGTCCACCACTTTATCTAAAATAGAGATCTAGATCTTCCCTATCGTGTGGGGTATGTAACAGATGACATCTCTACACAGACCAAAAAGCCAAAATGAATTTAGGTATAGACAGTTTTGTTCAGTCTGTGGTCCCTAACTTTCAAAACTGCTCACAAGGCTCCTTAGTAGAACGCCTTGTTGTCCATGAGATCTTGGGAGGCAATCAACAAGGAGACCAAATTGATGTCTTAGCCTTCCAGTGTGTCCTTCCTAATTAACAGGGGAATTAAATGTTTTACTTGTAATAAAAGTGAGAAGAGTGAACATGTGCTGGATTGTAACTAGTAATGTTACCCTGAGAGAATTGATTTAAATGCTATGAAGTCGGATACTAGCAGGAGTCTTATGAACTCCTGAGTTCGGAGATTCTGACTTTTGATATTATTGTATACCCTCTGAGGTGTGAGACATACTCCTAAGGATAGTAAATGTGACAGCATGCAAGTGATAGTGTAACCCTGCATCAACTGGCAGCTTGCATAGTACCGAATGGTGAAGAAATTAGTTAAACTAGGGGAAGGCGAGGCCCTATAAAGTGCCAAGTGGCTGTGAGAGGCTCTAGCTATGAATTGGCCGAGGGACTGAGGCCACCGAAGTTATGGGAATGTTGTTCTCTCTGTGACAATAAAAGATTCACACAAGGTTTGAGTGAGGCTCTAGCTATGAGTTGGGCCGATGGACAAATACCTCCATGTAAAGAAGGGAGTTGGTCTTGCCGGACTGAATTACAACTATACTGGAATATGGTCCACACTAATACCCTTTAAAGCCAGTTCATTAGAGTTGAGCGAACTCGGACTGTAAAGTTTAGCGAACTCGGACTGTAAAGTTTGGGTTCGTACTGAATATTACGGTTTTTGGACCCCGGACACGGACATATCACTGTATGTTCGGGTTGAAGTTCGGTGTTCGGCGATTTAATGGCGCGTTTTGAAAGGCTGCAGGGCAGCCAATCAACAAGCGTTTGACTTGTGTGCCCTTAGAAGCCATCTACTAATGGCATGGCTGTAATTGGCCAGTGCAACATGTGACCCAGCCTCTATTGAAGTGTCAAATACTGCGGTTACATCAGAGTTTTAAAAAAAGTCAAATTTTTTGGGGTGCTAAAAAGTACATTAGTGGGGTGCTCTAAAATCCACAAACTTGTTTCACCTAAAAAGGCTTTCTCAATATGGAATTAGCCAATTGTTATCCTATTATATTTATTTTGTGTGGTGCAGCCTTTTTTCTTTGTTTTCGCTCTTGTGTTTTAAGGGTACTTTGAGGCATTCCCTTTGTGGTTGCTGCCTTATCCATTACTAAGCGGTGACTCTCAATTTTGAAAACAACAAAATCACCTGCAACAAAGTGTACAAATCACACAGAGTAGGGGTGAACCCTTCAGACTAAATATAATTATACAATAAGATAATACTTATGTATATGAATAGTAAGGAAATCTTCACAATGTCTGTAAGACAATAATAAAAAACATAGTGTGTACTGTTTAAGTAAAATGGATGAAAAGTAGAGTTGAGCAAACCAGGACTGTAAAGTTCGGGTTCGTACCGAACATTAAGTTTTTTGGACCCGGACATATCACTGGATGTTCGGGTTGGAGTTCGGTATTCGGTGATTTAATGGCGCGTTTTGAAAGGCTGCAGGGCAGCCAATCAACAAGCGTTTGACTTGTGTGCCCTTAGAAGCCATCTACTAATGGCATGGCTGTAATTGGCCAGGGCAACATGTGACCCAGCCTCTATATATAAGCTGTAGTGGTGTAGCGCTGCACGCACATGAGTTCCTATTAGTGTAGGGAGAGGATGCTGCCGCTTTCAGGGACAGATTAGGAAGGAATTCTGCAAACTAGTACATTAGTGGGGTGCTCTTCATATCTTAGAGTCAAATAGAACTGTCAAATACTGTGGTTGCAGCACACTTTGAAAAATTAAAATTGTTTTGGGTGATAAAAAGTAAACTTGGGGTGTGCACTTCATACCTGACTTAAAATGAACCGTCAAATGCTGTGGTTACAGTGCAGTTTGACCAATTACATTTTCATCAGACTGATCCACAACAGGATGTGACATTCACTGTAGCGGCTCTGCGCACTTTCGGCGTTCTCACACTGCTGCTGCTCGCCTGTCTGCGCTGCAGCGTAACTTTTGCCTTCTCGCTCACCGCCTCATATGCCATGTGCCCACAAGGTGGAACCACCTTGCACATGCTGGAGAGACTGTGCGAGCAGCAGCAGCAGGCGATAGTGGAGTTTCAGCTGCAGCACGCACGGGTCAGTCGCTCTGCACCAGACTTCCCTCCAATTGATCAGAGTTAAAGGATTTCAAGTGGACTCATTACAATTACAGAGCCTCTAAAGAGTCCTGCATTGTTATTTGTCGTCACTACCTTCCCGCTTTGGGAGTGGGTCATTTGCGCACCTGCTGCCTTCCTTGCAAGTGGTAGCCATTTCTCAGGCTCCCTCTGTGGAATCGAACCCTGATTCCCCATTACCCGTGGTCACCATGGTAGACGCAGTAAATGGCATTGAAAGTTGATATGGATGACATACGAATGCGTTGTCGCCTTGTCGTTGGGGAGAACATTGAAAAAGTGCTCTAGCAGGACAAGCTGGGTGATCTCCCCTGGGAACTTGGCTTGATGGGAGTTGAGCCAGTTCTGAGTGACCCTTGTGATGTGATGTCCCGCATGGGAGTCCTTCTCCCCTTTCCGGGTCTTCCTAAACTTTTGGCGGTATTGCTCGGGGGTGACCGTATTCCGGGCCAGGAGGATTTGTGTACTCTTCAGGTACAGCCCGGTAAATATCCGCTGCCTTCCCCACTAGTTTGCTGGCCAGGATGGTCACCCAGTCCCTGGGGTCCATGTCTTGGAGTAGGCACTGGCGCTCAAAGTCTTGTAAAAAAGATGTCAATGCTTCCTTGAACTCTTTGAAGGCATTGTATGGTAGCTTGTGGACCAGGGTGGTTGTGCTTCCCGGTGCCCTCTGCTCCCTTCTTCCTTCTTCTGGGTTCATGGAGGTCACCCTCTGTCTATTGGCAAGGACATAGGCTTGCACCTCCAAAAAGGTCCTGCTGACACTCCTCTGAGGGTGGCTCTCAGTAATATGCCAAGCGCCGTTCCACCTCCTTGTGCACTTCCTCCTCATCTCCGGGCCCTGGCTGGAGTTCGTTGCCTCACTGCGTGCCTGGTCATCCTCTATGAGCGCAGCAGTCAATATGGCCTTGTTACACCCACCAGGCGTTATTCCTCTGGCTTCACACAAGTCCTGCAGTGTAGGTCGCTTTAGAGCACTGTAGGCCATGGGTCTGTTGGCAGGGACATGGGATCCCGCCGCTTGCCACCAATTGAAGTGGGACCTGGGTAACCGATGGTTATCCCCTTTGATTAGAATAGGTCAGACCCATTTCCCCAGTAACCAGATGGGACAGTTCCAGGATACAACGTTTGACAATCTTTATTTGGGTACACAGCTTTGCCTCCTGTTGCCTCCTACTCCGCTTACTCCTCCTCTACCACCTCCTCATCTGGTCAGCGTAACACCTTCAGCACAGCCAGGGGAAAATGACAGCAGGTTGTTTTAAAACTCATGTTTGGGGGAAAACCCCACACCACACAGAAGCTGTGGATGGGCATGGAACAACAGACCGATGAGTGGTTGTTGCAACTGAGCCTCAAGCCCAGCCTGTTGGTGTGCGATAATGGGAGAAATCTCGTAGCAGCTCTGGGCCTAGCTGATTTGATGCACATCCCTTGCCTGGTGCATGTGCTGAATTTGGTGGTGCAGAAATTCCTGAAAAACTACCCATATATTTTAGAGCTGCTTCAGAAAGTGCGTCCCATCTGTGCATGCTTTCGGCGTTCTCACTCTACCGCTGCTCGTCTGTCTGTGCTGCAGCGTAACTTCTGCCTTCCCGCTCACTGCCTCATATGCAACGTGCCCACAAGGTGGAACTCCACCTTGCACATGCTGAGAGACTGTGAGCAGCAGCAGGTGATAGTGGAGTTTCAGCTGCAGCACACACGGGTCAGTCGCTCGGCGGAACATCACCACTTCACCACCAATGAGTGGGCCTCCATGCAAGACCTGTGTGCCATGTTGCGCTGTTTCGAGTACTCCACCAACATGGCCAGTGCCGATGACTCCGTTCTCAGCCTTACTATCCTGCTTCTATGTCTCCTTGAAAAAATGCTTCGGGCGATGATGGAAGAGGAGGAGGAAGAGGGGTAATTTCCACGGTTATCAGGCCAGTCATTCACAAGTGGCCTTTGAAATGCTGTCATTCCGTCTGGTGGAGAAGGACAGTTTTAAAAACCCTGATGACGTTATTGGACTGCAAGAAATGCACCGCAGGCCACACATGTTTCTTTTTTTATATGTCCCAATATTTTGGGGGCTAACCCAATTGAAAAAAAAAAATAAATAAAAAAAAAAAAAAACAGTGTTAGCCGCTTCCACCTACACCGCCACGGTCACTGCCTCCTCAACCTATGAGTCACTTAGTATAAACTATGTACACAATAGCAGAGGCTTGTGAAGGCCTTTTCTCCATGCATCAGGACTGCAAGAAATGCACAGCAGGCAGCAAATGTTTCTTTTTTTTTTACATGTCCCAATATTTTGGGGGCTACCCCAATTACAAAAAAAATACAAGTGTTGGCTGCCTCCTCCTTCACCGCCGCTTTCACCTACACTACCTCCTCAACCTATGGGTTACTTAATATAAACTATGTACACAATAGCAGTGACTTGTGAAGGCCTTTTCTCCATGCATCAGGAGTTGAGCTCAATTTGAACAATGAAAGAATACCCTGCACTCCAACCCTCTCTCAAATGGATAATTTTGGTGATCCTCCTGCCAGCCATGCTTTAGATTTTAAATTATGTTCTTCTAAAGCTAAAATCAAAGATTCCATCTAGTGCTATTTTATGGCTCAGCTGTATTTTACATTTATTTAAGTGATTTCCCTATCCACATTTGTTTGCAGGGCACTTGTCCTACTCTTACATCCATTTTACTTTCTTTTGCAGCCCTTTCCATGGCTTAAGAGGCATTTTTGTGCCCAAAAGTTTGGGTCCCCATTGACTTGAATGGGGTTCGGGGTCAAACTCTGGGGTCAAGTTTGAACCCGGACTTTTTTTTCAAAGTTCGGCCGAACCCGCCGGACTCGAACATCCAGGTGTCCGCTCATCTCTAAACACATAAAATCTAATGGGTTTAGTTAAAGCCACTATCTGTCTCTTTTGCCCCTCCCCCAGACCTTCTGTGTCTGTGTCCCCCCAGCCCCTCTAGGTGTCTCCTATCGTCGTTGTAATACATTTTACTGTTTTGAAACCCTTTTGGTCTCTTGCCCGTCCCCAGCCTCTCTGTGGGTTTCATGTCTGCTACGACACAGTTCAATGTTCCAAATTTACATTGAATATTCCAGGTGGGTTTTTCATTTATATAGGCACACAATTATATGTCATCTGTGAATCAATATTCCACGATTAAAGAATACAAGCAGATTAAGGAACAGAGCACAAAATAAAATTCAGGGTTAAATTTAACAAGGCTACTTAGCAAACAGACACAGGGATTCAGTAACACCATACATACTGCCACGTTGAGTTAAGCCCACCACTTTGTCACAGTACCCCAGTATTGGTAGGTCCTAAATTAATATTAACACAAGAGGCAAACATGCTAAATGCAATGCTTTTTGCTTCCATATGGTGAAATGGCAAAACTGATTATCCATATTTTGCTAAGATATAGAAGATAGTTAATTTTAAGTAGTATGTACAATGTAAAACCTGATAGTTTTTTTGTGTGCATTTTCTTGATCTGTATCTTGTTTATATTTTGGTCTTTATGGCAGCACCAATACTGAGAAATCCACATTTCTGGTGTGCCTCCCAATTCCCCTTGGGTTTTTTTTTTTTTTTTTTTAAATACAACCAGCCTGATTTAGAACTTACTTTAGATCTCAATTACGTTTAAGTTTACATGTATTCCACACTTTGCCATATCATGAGACATGCTACCATGATTTGTAGAGTGTATATATTTTTCATTTCTTCAGTAAAAACTTTTCATTGAAAGCTTGTAGTCCCTTTCACCAGTAACAAAAATGTATGTAAAATCCATGCAATTCAAATACAAACAGGCATATTTGAATTGAGAATTTCAAATTAAAAGCCAGAGAAGCTTAAAGGACCACTATAGGCACCCAGACAACTTCAGCTCAATGAAGTGGTCTGCTTGCCTGGTCCAGCTAGGATTAACCCTTTCTTCTATAAACAGAGAAACTGCTATGTTTATAATACGGTTAATCCAGCCTCTAGTGGCTGTCTCATGGACAGCCGCTATAGGCGCTTCTCACTGTGATTTTCACAATGAGAAGACGCCAGCGTCCATAGGAAAGCATTGAGAATGCTTTCCTATGGACTGGCTGAATGTGCGCATGGCTCTTGCCACGCATGCACATTCAGCCAATG